AGTGAGTGAGTGAGTGAGTTGAGTGAGTGGTGTGGTGGCTGGCCGACAGCAACTGCTTGGAATACAACTGATTCACTGGCTGGCTGGCTGGCTGGACCCAGTCTGTACGTTCCCCTCAATGGTTCGGATATCTACATCTCTATCATGATCGAGTGAATAGAGGGAAGGATATCATGACCAACGCCTGTTTATCAACCCAAACAATCAAAAGAGATGAAAATTAGTGATATCATTTACCCCGTGTCCGACCAAGCGGGTTGAGACGATTTCTCCCGGTTTCATCTGCCTTGGCTGGTCAGCATGCAGCCCTGGTGTAAGAGGGCTGACTCTCCAGGGAGGTAACTCAGGGAAAAGGAATTTGTGCAGCAGTTTCTGCAGACACCGTTGTTGTGTACAGATTATCAATCTCGACGTGAGTTTCTCTAGCAACGTCCAGGGGCTTTTAGAACCATGGTTCAGAGTGGTCAAACCTTGGTTCCCAGCAGTGTCAGCCCCGTCAACTGGGAAGGTGAGCACAGAGCCAGGTAACTGGTCGACGTTCCTTGGGAACAACCTTGAAAGAAACTGGAATTGCCCCAGATGATATGCAAAATCTGGGGAGGCCGTCATATGCAGCTTACATACAATGAGGGTGGTGCTTCGAAGGTCAACAGTCATGCAAGCATAACTAACGAAAGTATAATCACAACGGGGAAGATCGATGCCTTGAGCTCGATACTCTCGTGATCTTTATCAATTATCCAGACTATGCAAAGTGACTCAGTAATACATCACTAGCGATAAGATGATATCACGGCCTTCAGGATTCTACTCATACTTAGGCGCAGGTGGTAGAACCGTGACATGGCGCAAGGTCCGGATAACAGGCAGCTGCCGACGATTGTCTCAGCTATCCTCCGACGTATCTTTCAGACCAGGGTCCTTCATCGTGCACTGGGCAGCCATCGTATAGCCCGGAAATTCTTTGTGTCTTCCGGCCGATTTGAGTCCAGGCCCGGGGTCCAGGGATCCAATTTCTACGATTATGCCACAGGATAGCTCCCTGCTACTTTATCATAGCCAGTGATGCTCAGCACAGACAAGAAAGAGCTTTCCTTTCAGCGAATAGAGCCTCATGAAATGGGAGATGACTTTTGCGTTAGCCTCCGGACTATTGATACTCGGGTGTTTCGTCTAGAGATCAGTATATGGCTCGGATTCGATCTGACTTAAGGTTGGGGAAGCTCGATTGGGGCGCCGTCACGCAAGCCGTCAAAAATCAAACCGACGCTAGCGAAGACACTATGTGAATGGGTACTGACGGCAGCGGGAGGCTTTGCTTAAGTCTCGTGTCGAGCGCTGCTATTCAGATCGCTGCCTATGATAGATGGGTGGCGCGTGTAGTCCTTCAAATTTGGTCGCTTGGTTGCTAGGCTACAGCTGAGACTGCAATAGTGCCCAGCCTTTGGAAAGATAATCAATCCTGTTGCAGGAGACGGGATAGTCTTGCGTGTTGGTTGGAAACGCTTAGTCCAACAGTCGAGTTGAGCATGATTGCACGAATTGATCTGTGGGGAATTTTGGAGACCAACATGTTAGAGACCATTGGCATTTAGACAACGGCAGCGTTTGGAAACTTTAGCGAGTCATAGCTTCTTAGGGTTCAGGCACCAGACCGTCCCGGTACGAAACACCATCAACTAAGAGCATTAGCAAGATCAGTAGAAATGCTTTCGGGATTCCGAGTCAAAAATTGTCATCTGGGCACACTGTCGGCTGATTACCGAAGCCTCGTCTTCACAAAAGAGAAAAATGGCACACCGAGTCAATTGAGGTTAAAGGAGCATGGCCGGGCTCAGCAACCCGCAGTCCGCGAAATCTCCCCCCCACATTAATCACCGACGTGAAGCCGAACGGGCGGTCCAAGTTGAAGTGGTTCTCTGTTCTGAGCCATGGCATTTTCCTGGCCCCATAGTTTCAGATAGACGTTTTGTGCCACGTGGAATCGGGCGCCGAGGGGTCTGGTCTCATCAAATCTCTCTCAATCCGTAACATCGATCCAGGCACTGGATATTGGACGGAATGATGTTGAGTGATGGCAACGAGTCAGCACGGAAGGCTGGTGAGGGACGACCTAAGTGTGCTACACATACTGCAGACCGTGGGGAAGACAGGAGGTTGCGGTCAAGAGGATTTGCGCGGGATGATAAAGCTGACGCAGTGCAGCAACGCACATCAGTCCTGGAGAGCCGACCGACGACGATCGGTGGCCATGAGCCGATCGCGTCAGATGCAGATCATGGATGCAACATGGCAGCAGAAACTGGTTCTCGAGTTTCTTGTCATGCCAAATCTGTGACGTAGCAGGTCATCAGGTACCCAGTGTGTCTCGATTGTGACAGGAGTGCAAAGCCTTTTGTCGATATTGCTAGCTATCTTAGGTTTCGGGTTGCGGGGACAAGCAGCATCAAGTACTGAGCGATATCAAGGATATGGAGGCTAGTGAGACACTCACGGTGTACTGTACCAATGTACACAGCATTTGCAAAGGACTTGTGCTATCAAGAGAATGGGGTCAACCAGCGCCGAACGATCATCGTCCTCGGATTTGTCTGTGTAAATATGTTGACATGGAGATATGTAGATACTCCGTATATCTGAAGCATAACCGACCAGGCGGCCCGTGACCAGAGCCAATCATCCCCAGTATAGCCGATCTCGACGATACAGGGAACGAAGGAAGATGATTTGGCGCTTTTTTTCTCGTTCCTTCTTGCTCTTCCCCTCCTTATTCCCCCTGCCTGTGACAGGCGATGTTGCACACGTGATGGGCGATGGAACTAGTGGCTTAGCATTGGTTGGTTTGTTTCAAACCCGGCCGAACTTCTTTTCTGCCGCCTCTCATTGGATTGGCTTAGCGCGCGCCCTCTCAGGGTGTTGTTTCAGCTGCAATGTGCCAGGGCCACTTTCATGCCTTGCTGTCTCAACTTTCCCAACCTTCCATGCTGAAACAGTTCCGAAGGGTCTGGGACGGTACTCCGTAGTCACCATGGTTTTTTTTGTTTCTTCTTCTTTTTTTTCTTCATGGATGAGACGTCCAGGGAAAATCGTTAGATCATGCAAAACCAAAACCAAAAAAATGTGTGCTCTGTCTTAGCGACGACAAGATGCTCGTTCCTGACTCCCCTGACTCGGGCAAGTTATTCCTGGCCCACTGCCTGGACCGGAGGGCCCACCGTTTCCAGGGGAAACTTGCTTGGGACCTGAAATGGATGGAGCCCTGAGGGGAGACGGACGGGCACAGAGAGACTAGCGGAATTGGCACTAGCCCCAGTCCGTCAGCCTCTGCGTTTCACCTTTGCTACGGGCCCAGAGAGCCGCTGCCAATTTTTCCAAGCCTCGGCGCCAGAGAGAGGTCCCTGCTGAATCGCCCTCCGCATCTACGTAGTGAAAAAGCGATTCATGCCTCCCCCTCCCGACCCGGCTCTTTAGTTACTCTATTTCTCTTTGCTTGTCTTCTTCTCTCCAGTTGTGTCTCCTGGTTGAAGGAGGGGATCATCCGTGTGCTTACCCGGGGACAGTTCAGTTAGGTTAGTCGAGAAAGTTGACAACCTGGATTTCTTCTCAAGCTGGCTTGACCCGAAAGAAACCAAACCCTTCTTCAACCCAACAAGCAAACTCATCTTCTTTTTACTTTCTTGCGAGAACCGTGCACGCCCATTGAAGCGGGTCAATCTCTCCCCAATACGGAATTGATCTTGTGCAACCGGTGCTGGGATACCGTCTCCTTGGATTTGGCGCATTTACTATTACTACTATTATTATTATTATTAACGACCTGCTCGTGGGTTGAGCAGACAGACCTATCTCTGTGTGACTTCTGGAAGTCTTCTTGAATCTTCTTCTTCTTCCTCAACTTGACTTGACTGAACTTCTCTTATTTTCCTGTCTGCGATCTCAGCGTCATTGCATTTTCCGGGCTTGCTTGTTTGCGTTCGACTTCTTCAAGCGACAGCCAGCTGCTGTGCAACGAACATCGCAGAGGTGGTATAGATCCGGACGGACCTGACCACCACCGGCCTGGCCTGGCACCTGTCAAAGATCCAAGGGGCGCTTTTCTATTACTTCCCAGGAGAAGGAAGCAGCTTGATAGGTACGTTGTTATGTCTTGTGTATGAGTTATTTTGATCTAGTGTTCTGGTTTATCGTTTCATGCTTTTTTTCTTTGCCTGATGTCTCTCCAGTGGAGTGTGGACTACTAGCTCCCTCCTCTCCCTCTCTCCCTTTGCTTTCTCTTTGATGCTCTGCTCTGCCCACCAATCATTCTATATCCGCCTCGCCCACGGTACCCTTTTGTGGGGAATGCCATTTGACTTTTCTCTTGTTCGTCTTTTTTGTTATTGTTTTTTTTTTTTCTTTTTCCTTCTCTCCGTCTCAATTCTCTTATTGGATTTGACACTTGCACCATCACTACCCTCTGCCTGGCATGAGACTCTATGATGGAGACCCGAAAGGGTATGAGAGGGGAAGACCAAAGGGGAAAAGGCCAGACCTGGAGCTCCAACCTAAAAAGGGTTGGTTGGTTGGTTGGTTCAAGAGGTTGTGCCCGGCAAAGTGAGATGCCAGTGTCACTATTGCAACGGACTATGGGATTGAGGCATTCCACAATCTGTCTGTTCCCTTTAGGGATTCTTCTTCCCTCCCCCCCCCCCTCTCTCTCTCTCTCTTCCCCTTCAACCCCTGTTCAAAATTTGAGAGATGAGTCTCCGAATTTCTTTGCTTTTTCTTGTTCTTTCTCTTTATCCCCTCTTTCTCCTTCACATTCAAACCCAACATTCGGGGCCAAGATATGCCACTTTCGGGGTGGTTGTTGGGGAGGGAGGGGGGGAAGAGGCAGAAGTTGGCGCCCATGATATGCACATTCCATCGCGAGAGAACCAACCCGGGCGGCTAAATTTAGAGCTGCAGCCCATGGGAAGCTCAGGAAGAACGCAGAACATCTTCTCCACTTCCTCGTCATTACCACTGATTGGCGTGCTGTCAGCAACACACGGCCGGTTGGATCTCCACTCGCCCATTCACTCACTCACTCACTTACTCACTTACGGAGTACTTACTGCACTCACTTTCACTTTACTCGCCCCTCTCTCTCTCTTATTCGCTCGTCGCCCTTTCCCAAATGAATCGCTATTCTTAGTCCTTCATTTTGATTATTCCATATTATCATTATTTTTTCGATTTTTTTTTTAATTTCTTCTGTGCCAGCAAGTCTTGCTGAGACAGACGGTCGGAGTACATCGAGCCCAGAGGCTTGTTTCTCACTCTGTCGCTCTCCGATTACTCTCTCACACTCATTTTTTCCCTTCTTCCTTCCTTCGCCCTCCGAATCTCCTCTTCTTACATACTTCCTTCTTCCTCCTCCCTTCTGTTCTTTCTTCTTCTTTTCCCCCTCTTGTTGAACAACCCCCCCCCCCTCCCCTCTCCCAGTTCCCAGTTCCCACACCCCTCCCTCTTCCCTTGACGCAGGGACCCTTTCCACCTGCCTGCCTGGAATTGCGACTTGTCCGTGCCGTTCCTTTGAGTGAGTGGTGGGCAGTCGTTTGCGACTGAGAGCAATCCCACCCACGTTTTCTGTCGTCATTCCCCGGAGGAACGACTGCCCACTTTGTTACTCTCCCCGGGCGGCAATTCTCCCTCCCCAAACCCTAGTCGCATTTTCACTTACTTCCGAATCTTTTTCATGAAGAACTATACCTAAAGCTTCTGTTTCTCTCCTTCATTCCACCTTCATGTTCTGGTCGCTGCTTCTGATTTGAGATCTCTCAATTTCCAATCCTTCACCAATCCTTTACCTCAACACTTTACTGACTGGTCCCAAGAGGATATCCTTCTCTTGCAGCATTCCTTGGTATGTTCCTGATCTCGGACTCCATTTAGGACATCAACTGCGAATCTCTGCTTCTGCTTGCATATGCGATCCTGTTCTCTCCTTTGTTGCTTCTACAGACCTTACTAGCTCTGTTGTTTTCATTTCGTGAAGCTGGCCGATCCTCGAACCGGTTTCACTCTCCTTGCAGCTGTGCTTGCTTCTACTGCCGAAAACCAACAACTTACGCTGAAACATGGAAGCTGATTGTCTAAACAAAAGGTCATTTGCGCTGGTAGCAAGTGCGACTCTACCTTGTTTTCTTGGAGCTGGTCACAACAACTGTGCCCCAGTTTTCGCGCCCACTCTTCACTACAGCTGCGATCCGGAAAGGGCAACGATCCCTTTCAAACGTAGGTGTATCTCACCAACCTCAGAAACAACCATGCCGGTGCAGACCAGCGCTCCAACACTCCCGGACTCGTTTCCCTCCTTCATGTCAGTTTTTGGCGGGCGGACGCTTGATTTCCCCGAGAAGGAGGCGCGGAACACAGCATTCAAACCTCTCCGTCTGCCCACCAATGTCACCATCAATACCTCGACCCGCCGTCCCTTTCCTTTTCAACATCGTGCGAGTATTTCCTCCGTGACATCAGGTTCCGCCGACTCTTCGCCCACTACTACCATCTCAACGTTCGACTCGCCATCTGTGGCGGATACATCTCCCAGCTCCTCTCCCGAATCTCCCTCGTCCATGCCGTTGGCGTTCAACAACAAATTCACCATGCCCCCGGCGCGAAACTTCGAAAGCCAGTCTTCGTCGACTAACAGCCTTTCCCAACCAGCTTCAGATGGCGCTAGTCTTCCACGGCCCGATTCTCCAGGCAGGCGGGCACGAAACCTCAAAAACCTCTCACTGAGGATGCCGCCACCATCCCAGTCGCGCCCACCCATCGCAACAGCATCTATGGTCGAAGGGACCTCACACCATCTCTCCGCTCCCCCGTCTCCCGTGCACGTGCCTTTGAAGGGTATGCGCCGCAAACCAGCAAACTTGACCATCCGCACGCCCGGTTTCGACAGGTCATTTTCCAACAACATCACTGAGCTGGTTCCTCCCACCCCGCACTCATTGCGCCATACCGAATCTTCGCCTTCCCTGACCTCTGTCTTTTCTCCTTCTTTCGGTCCCAAGGGTGGCATGCAGCTACCTCGGCCCATGACGCATCATGGCGCCCGGCGACCCTCGGCTACGTCGGAGAGCAACTTGTCACCCCTACAGACTGTAGAAGATGAGGATTCCGCTTCTGGCGGGGTGTTGCATGAGCTGAAGGAGGAGGATGATCATCTGGACTCCCGAGAATCGACGCGGCGTAGCGAGCGAGGCTATCCCAATGGGCCCATTCAGATTTACGACTCAGGCGTTTTCCTCTACTTGGAACCGACTGCGCAAGAAGCATCCGAATTTGATGTTGTTGTGAATGTGGCCAAGGAAGTCGCAAACCCGTTTACTAAGGCCAGCACCAGCACCGAAACTGTGGTGAGCGCACTGCGCAATGGGTCCGTCAGTCCCAAGCGCCTATCCATTGCGGAGCCATGGACCGCCGCCTCAGAAACATCGTTCAAATCCGCATTTGAATACCCCCCAAGTAGGGCGTCGCTACCGGCGACTCCGAAAAACGAAGCACCCGGACCGGAATATGTCCACGTCGGCTGGGATCATAACTCGGAGATCCTCGAGGATCTATACCCACTATGCGAGCTGATTGACTCCCGCATCGCAGATGGAAAGAAAGTCCTTGTGCATTGCCAGCTGGGCGCCAGCCGATCAGCCTCGTTGGTGATCGCCTACGGTCTTTTCAAGAACCGAGACTTGGATTTCAACTCGATGTACGAGATTGTCAAGGAGCGCAGCCGCTGGGTTGGCCCTAACATGAGTCTCATTTATCAGCTGACGGATTTCCGCTCCCGCCTCCTCCGTGGGGGCTTGTCCAAAGCCGCCCCTGAAGAGTGGTTCGGCGAAAGCTCACCAAAGCTCACCGAACAGCGGCGCTCACGAGCCGATAAGCGAGAGTCGGGCGAGACCTGTATTCCTGGCAACGAGAGTGTATACTCCGATGTCGAACCCCATTCGTCCAATGCGATGTCGCAAGCATCGATGAGCTCTTTGTCGGTGCCCTCCACCAATCAGACCACGCCCGTGTCAATTGAGAGCCTTGGATTTACCAAGTCTCTTTCGCACAAACGAAGCATCTCACCCCGGCCATTGCCTCTACGTCAGAGCTTTCATACCGGGTTGACAAGTGATATCACACCTGCCAAATCGGCACCACCCGCATGGCACGCAGAAGCCGGGCCGTGCTCGTTGGCTAAGACCGATATGTTCGTGCGGGAAGGGTCTGAGGAATCCAACGCTCTCTTCTCACCGAGGACGACGGACTTCATGGCCGCGCCTATCTCGCGATCGGTTTCCGATGTCCTTGAGGATGATGGCCTCAACGGACTGCGGTTCCGGTCACGGATAGCAGATCCGCGGTCTCCGCCACCCGGGAATGAGAGGTTGATTATGAGAAATATTGATGAATTTCTGTAATTCTGCCATAATGTCTTCGACTGGACTGGCCATTGGGCGTCGGTCTGCGAAATGATTCCATGACTATAACCACTTCATTCTGACCCGACCATTCGGTCAACATTCCTTCACCTCTTCACTCTGGCCGTTGTGGCATTTACGTTCCTTTCTTTCCTTCCCATCCACATTCATTACCTGTTTCATCTAATTGATGAGTTGATGACCAAAGCGGGCTCTCCGGTCGTTATTCCATCCATTTCTCTATCCTGGACATGGGTCCACATTTGCATTCAAGGCCGTGGGCTCAACATTGTGCATGCTCTCTGGACCAGCGGCGTCGTGGTGTTATAAAAGATAAAGGGCGGCGAGGAATCGTGTCGTGCCTGATAACTTGTAATACTATTCTCATTTCTTTATGGTAACTGCATACGGCTGCGGAATACCCTAGGCTTATTGGTTTATTGGTGAAATGTGATATCCGCATTGTAGCGAGAGAAGATGTGGTGTAGTGTTCAAGAAGTAGTGCAGTGCCGTCTACAGTTAGTGCTAACTAGCGCACGGATCAGTCTCGGGATCCGGGGAGAACTCCAGAAGTTTACAGAGCCCAGACCAAGGCAATTTTTTGTCGACCCTCCATCCAGCCATTTTCCACTCAGGAACAACCACACCACCAACACGGCCATTGACAATTTGCTAACGGAAAAGGGTCCGCACAATTCCACCATGGCCGACCAACATCCCACATATTTAGAGCCGAGTGAACTCGGCACCAAGGACTAGTACGTACGGCATCTACCCCGCTACCCCTCCCAAGATTTTTTCTGTCCCTCTCCGCAACCTAACACCACCTACCTGCTTCTTTCTGGTGTGAAAATGAAAACCAGACTAAGACTAACCCGATAAACCAAAGCTGGGAAACCTACTACGCGCGAACCCTCTCGCACCTCTCCACCAAACAACCCGCTCCCGCCGTCGCGTCGTCGTCTTCCTCGACCAACCAACCCACCCAGACCCAGACCCAGACCCAAGCCCTCTCCTCCTCCTCCGACGAGGAAACCGACGACGACGATGAAGTCGACGACGACTCCGACCCCGGCACCTCCTGGTTCTCCGAACACAACGCCCCCGAAAAGGTCCTGGATTTCCTCACCGACGAGACCTTTCCCCTCGCACCGTGCAACACGCTTCCTGGGCGTGGGCATGCCGCGGAGGGCGAAGCCGGGGTCCCATGCGAAGCGCCGCCGCCGCCGCACCAACCCTCCATCCTCGACCTAGGCACCGGCAACGGAAGCATGTTGGCGCTGTTACGGAAACGCGGGGGCTTTCGGGGCGCGCTAGTCGGCGTGGATTACTCGGCGCAGAGCGTGGAGCTCGCGCGCCGGTTGCAGGCGTTGCGGATCCATCGGGCTTATCTTTCGGATTCTGATGATTCTGGGGATGAGGATGAGGGGGAGGGGGAGGCGCACGGCACAGGGGCAAAGGAGGCGGGGACGGAGATTCGGTTTGAGGAGTGGGATATCCTCTCTTCTTCTGAGGATGAGGCGGGTGTGGTGCCTGAGGGGTTGGGGTGGTTCCCCTATGAGCAGGGCGGGTTTGATATCGTCTTGGATAAGGGGACGTTTGATGCGGTTTCTTTGTCGGCGGAGGTGGTGTCGGGTTCTTCGGGGCAGGGGCAGGGGCAGGGGGAAGGCGAAGAGAGGAAGCGGGGAAAGATGGTGCAGAGGCGCGTCTGTGAACGCTACCCCGGGATTGCGCGGGGGTTGGTCCGTCCCGGCGGGTTTCTTGTGGTCACGAGTTGTAATTGGACTGAGGAGGAGTTGGTGGAGTGGTTTACTGCTTCTGCTGCTGCTGCTATCTCAGCGGGTGGTGACGGTGGTGACGGTGGTGACGGTGATGGGCGGAAGGATAGGTTGGTGGTTTGGGGCAGGGTTGAGTATCCCAGGTTTCGGTTCGGGGGCAGGGAAGGGCAGGGTGTCTGTACGGTTTGTTTCCAGAGGGTTGTTTCTTAGATCTCGGGGAGGTTCTATCACTATGGACTTGAGTATGCCATCGCGCTTTTTCTGGGGTGTGGGATCTGTAGTGGTGTAGTACCTCTCGATCGGAATTCCTCCGGGGTAAGTGTATCATCGTGTATACACTCATGTGTTGTGGTAGAGATGTTGATGATTTCTGCAGAGAAACATTTACAGAGGTCCATGGTGCGGTGTCCACTGCTGTTGTACCCACCCCCTACCGGTAATTACTCCATAATTGATTGACTTTCCTCAATAGGAAGAAATGCTATCCTCGAGGCCTTCAATCAGGGTCTATCACCCAGAAGCTTATCTTACAATTGGGGGCGAGACTATAAGCCACCAAAAAGAAAAATGACGGCCATTGATGTGCGAAATGTCGTTTTTAGTATGGCGTTATGCAAAGCAAACGAATACCTGCAACTGGCAAGGTGAAGAATTGCCGACAGGGCAACCAACTGTCGGGAGATTTTGTGCTGACTGGGCTGTTGACAGGTGGTCGGTCTCATCAATCGGACCACCTCTGCGGCTGCAGATCCTCGTCGGAAAACAATGCGTCTCCCAAGGTATGAGGATTTTGGCCGAACGTTCGAATGGCGAGCGTATCTAGCTTTCCGCACGCCGCCCGCGGAATTGGATTCCTGCCTGACTTGTTGATGGTCAATTGTTTTTTCTTTTTTTTTTGTTGGCGGCCTGTGAGCTACTTTCCCTCGATCCTGGAATCTAGAACTCCACAGTATTAGCATCAACAACTGCAAGAACAACTGCATCCAATGCGTTTCTTGGCGCAGAGGCGCAATTGCTTCAGACCAACACAACAATTTTTGTCAGATTTTCTGAAACCTGTCTCTCCCAGTTATTTTACCCTCTCTTTTGTTGCAGCAGCAGCAGCAGCAGCAGCAGCAGCAGCAGCAGGAAAAGGGATTGTGCAATGATGGACCTCCGGCAGAAGTGAGGTCAAAGTGGATCCCTCTGGAATGTGCACGTCATCCAGGTTTGGGATTCTTTTTTTTGTTTCTCCCCCCAAACTGGGCAGCAGTTCTTCAACAAGGATTCTGATGAATGCTGACCGCTAGACAATCCAGGTTTTTCTTTTTTATTCTCATGATGGGCAACAACATCTCCTGAAATTTTTTTTTTCTGCAAAACCCGGTTCGGTTCAGACTCCGATGCCCGCGTGCCTGGCAATCCTTCGTCGATCAGGAACGACCGTCGGAAGGGAAGGGGGGAGGGAAGGGAAGGGGGATTTATTTTCGCCAGGTCAGCAGTCGGACAGTCGGACAGTCAGATGGTCAGGCTCAGCGATCGTGACGTAGGATGATCCATCGATAGGGTAAGGGTTAAGGGATGGATAAAAAAGAGGAGTACGGAGTAGGGGAAAGGGTGATGTGATGGGCGACTCCACTTGAGGGCCACGGCCAGACTGTCTGTCAGCCCAGCTCGTAAACAGATCAGGGAGACTCAGAGTCCACCATGGGTTTGAGAAGTGGACAGAATTCCACGCAGTCGGGAGGGAGGTAGGTCCACGACTTTGTATCATCTCATCCAAGAGGGGTGAGAGACATGTCACGGGGTATCCAGAAGGATTAATTGATCGACTGAGCAACTCAGTAATCCTGGTGAGGAGAGAGCAGAGGAGTTGAGTTTAAATTGGCTTGCTGACTGGACTGGAGATAAGGTCGGGTTCAACTGGCAGTTCGTGGTAACAGTGCTGTACCGATCGAATGTACGGAGTACTGTACCACCGCATAACGTTACCAGTTACCAGTTATCGTGACCGTACCGAACTCACCCGGGGCGGGCGCTTCCCCCGGCCCCTCCCTCCAAGCCCCGTACAGTACGGTCAGCTGGTGGAAATGACATCATGCTCCCCACCCTCTTCCAGGCCCTAGACCGGTCGATGGAGGGTGGCGTAATTACGGTATGGTCATGGCTGGCTATCGACGGCCACGGGGGCGGGAGGCCCCGATCTGCCTGAGTGATTTTTGGGAAGTCGCAGGTTGTAAGCAACAAGCAAGTTACACACTGCACACTGTGTCCGGGCCCATCAATGATTGTTCGTGGCACAATGAAATCCGTCTTCAAAAGGACTTTCTTGTTTGACTTTACTTTTTTTTTTGTTACATGTATTACAACTTCTGAATAATTTCCATGATCCTTATTCAACCTCCCGATGGTTTCTTTGTGAAGGAGAGAAACAAAGAATGAAGAATGGATGAGCCAGACTGAGGAAGAGGAGAGAGGAGGAGGAGGTTCGGAGGATTTGGCCATCTTCCCATTGCAGACGCACCAGCTGATGGGTCATTGGGTCCTAACAACGTACTGTCCTGAGTAGCCTCGCAGGTGACCGGAGCTGTGCCTTTCTCCGCCTCCAACAAAAACAACCACCACCACAATAATAACTCTGCTGCAGAGTCATGCCAAAACACTACAACAGTGAGATTATTCCCAAAAAATTTGTTTGAGTGTGAACGTCAACTTTTTTTTTTTTTTTTTTTTTTTTTCACTGAAACTTGGGGAAATTCTTCTTTGTCTGGACCCAATCATTCTGAAATCCGGGCGCTGGCTGATATCATCCACGATTCCACTTCTCGGAAGGCAGATGCGAGTGGAGCAAATAACATCCCAGAACTGCCTGGTTTTGCTGCTCCTTCTCCGTTGTCTGTTGCTGGGTTGTTAGTCAGGAACCGGTCCAGCCCTGACTGCCCTTGAAAATTAATTTGTTCGCGGTGTTCTCAGAAATCCATTCGCTGGTGTTTTCTTGTTGAGTGGGTTTGGAGATGGGGTAGTTTGGTCTTTTCCAGAATCAACCGAAGAACTTCGTTCTGCTCTGCTCATTCTCTGCTTTGCTTTTGCCTGGGGAAAGACCCGCGTGGACAGACAGCTTTGGGAATTTTTGGTTTTTGGACGGTAATTGAGTCGAATCCAGAGCGGATCGCCCGACCCCCGCATTGCTGGTTTACTAGCAAAAACCCAATCCAGTCATTTACAACCAATCCTCTCTCATGAGTTTTGCCTATTTCGTTTTAAATTGCATGGGGAAGGAAACCAAAATAAATTCATAAAAGAGGGGGAATTCGACAAAGGAAGAGAGGGAGACAGTGACCAAGATGAATCAACAAGATCAGGTGAATTGAAGGAGAAGGAAAAAAAATCCCCCCGCAAAACTGTACTGACTAGAGAATCCCTATCTGTACTCCGTAGTCTCTACCTATGTTATAACTAACTACAGTAACAATCCCCCCTCTCTTGGAAAATAGAATTAAAAATAAAAATAAAAAATAAATTTAGCAATCAATTCCTGGGTATTGATGACTGATACAATGTAATTAACTCAGCTAAACTATCGCCGATTCTCTCTTACTATCAGTATTATCAGCAAGTAACAATAATAGTGCAATTCGTACTTCTTACTCAGTACTAGACTGGACCTCGTGCAGCCATCCAATCCATTCATTCACTTGTTGTATTCATTCATTCCTCTGCTGCTGCTGCTGCTGCTGCTGCTTGACTGACTTACTTACTCTGATCTCCTCTTTTATTTTATTTGGACTATTTTTATTATTTTTTCTTTTTCCCTTTTTTGTCCCTCTTGCTCTCTCTCTCTCTCTCTCCCCCTTCGACCCTTTCCCCTCTTACTTGCAATTTCCCCTCTCTGCCTCTTCCTCTTTCTCCTCTTCTTCTACAACGCTTCCTTTCTCTCTCTCCCTTCCCCTTCTCTACATCAACTCTCTCCACCTAACTCCCATCTTCCTCCTAATCATATCCCAATTGACTCCCTCTCCCAATTGCCCCCGTTAAATCACTCACGCACTCTCTTGTGGTTGGCCCTGAACCTTGCTCGTGGTTAGCCTGACAGGTACCTGCTCTGCCGCTCGTATCCCTGGATTTTGCCCGCCAGCTGAATTTCTTTGCCTCACTTCTTTTTCAATTTATTTCTCATTTTCTTCCCTCCACCTCCCGCTTCCTCACTACTTCTCGACTACTCAACTACTACTATCCCTCCACCACCTCCGCTCAATCATATCACCCAGAATCACTTTCTGGTGCTAATCAATACTACTACCTCTGGACTGCACGGGATTGACAGCCCGACAGTCCACGTACTAAATATGGCCTCCTTCAAGGTAACGTGCTGTCTTGTCTTTTCCCTGGACTTTCTCCGTGGATGGCGTGCTCTGCGGACCACCAGCGCTATTGAATCCACCCCCCCCAGACAATATGTCCGACTAACAACTCCGATCTTCCATAAAATAGGAATTGTCCCTCTCTCGCCCTCTTCCTCAATCCAACTCCCGTCACCACTCCCATTCCATCTCGCTCGGTGCGGTCAACGCCAACCATCGGGTGACTCGTCGCAAGAGTGTCACCACTGCCGCTGCTGCTAATGCGGCCGCTGCTGCGGTCGCTGCATCCTTGAAAGAGTCGGGCGATTCCATGGGAATTCCGATGCCCGCACACCGCCGTGGGAGTCGGAAAGGCTGGGAGTCCAGCTCGGTCGGAGCCCCCTCCGGCTTCGGCTCTTATCTGTCTCGCAGCATGAACAGCCCCAGCCAGGAGCCCCCGGTCGCTCGCAAAACCTCCCCTTCCCAGACGACCCCCATCGTACCCCCCGCAACGATCTCCGAAAACACCGTCCCAGATTCCTCGGATCCCAGTAACCCAGCGGCCAAGCCAGTCACCACCAAGAACCGCAACCGCCGGGCCAGCGAAGGTGCCCACCTGGTCAAACCCGAGGGAAAGCGATCCATGGCCGAGCTTCGCTGCGAGCGTTGCGGGAAAGGGTATAAGCATGGCAGCTGCTTGTCCAAGCATATGTGTGTATCCTCCCCCCATGCCATCCGGCCATCGGGCTCGGTCCGGAGCAAATGCGCCATGTCGGCTCTGCCTAAGGTCGCCTTCGTGGCCATTCCGCTCCCTCCAACTCTCTCTTCATCGTGGTGGATCGCAGTAAATTGACGTTTCTTGGAAATACAGGTGGGAACATGACCCTGCGTGGGCCATCACTTCGAAACTTTTGATCTCCAAGCACCAACAGGTGCAATTGCTGGAAGCCGCCTCTGTGCTGGTTACCATGACTCAGGATCCCGATGAGAACGCAGAGGCCGACTCGGAGATCTCATCCTCCTCACCGGACGCTTCGTCGGAGCTGCGGGAGGGTCTCAGTTCCGCGGAGACGACCCCGCCCCCAATGGACGAGGACGATGATGACGATGAGGACATGGCCATGGAACCCACGGCTGACAAGCGCTTCAGCGTCAGCAATGCCTCAGGTCTCTTCTCTCACTCATATCAGTCCGGCCCCTCAAGCTCGTTTACGAGCAGCGCTCCCTGGGCATCCCCAGCATTTTCTCACATGCGGCACTCGAGCATTGACACTCGCCCCTCCACTGCGGAAGCCAAGTTGCACGAGGACGACGAGGCTGACCTGGCAGCCGCCATCGGCCTCTGCAATTTCGGCACCCCTCGCATGGGACCAGTGCCGCTGTCTCCTAGCGTGCCTCCAGTGCCTTCCCTCCCGACTCGATTCCTCGACCAACGAAGTCCCTCGGACAGCCAAAGCCACAGCTTAGACCAGTCCAACGCAGGCCTTGCCAACTCCGCCTTCTCAAACACCACTTCCAACCTCTTTCTCTCCCTATCTTATAATCCTTCGCTGTCTTACAAGGTCTCCGATGAGCGCGAAGTCCGAACGGGTGGTGCTGCAACCGACCGTGCCAAGCGACAAACCCGCAACGCCGACGTCGATTTCAGCAGTCGGCCAGCCCAGGCAGACGACGATGACGATGGCATTTTCGGCCGCATGGAAGAATAGATGCAACCCTCATGACCCGCCATCACACTCCTTTCACCCATCGCTCTCCTATCCGATCTCCCTTCTTCTATCTTCCCGCCGAACCGCTGCACTGACAGCCATCCACCACATCACCCTGATGACATGTACGAGATTGCGTGACTTTTTGTAAATGTTGATATTCTATTTTCTCGTGTTGGAGTTGGAACACCCCTTTCGCATGTATCGCAGATTTTCTATATCTATTTGTATAACCCCAGCGCCGGCTGTGACTGGATTGTCTGCCGCTACCACTCTTGCCGCACACCCACTGACTGACTGACTCCACCTATACCAATTTCATATGTTTTTCTTGTTCTTTGTGCATTGTCCACTGTACTTTTTAGTCCATGCGGGGAGAAATTTTCCGAAGCGACTGCAGACACGCATCTTGTCCTGCAGTTTTTGCATTTGGGTTGTTGTATTCTTCGGACTTGGCGGAAAGTGTTCTGGTCTGATCAATATCCGGGGTGAATCAAACCCAATCCACGGCCACTCCAACGGCGACTGGTCATCTGCTATCCATCTCTTGTCGTCGAGTTTCACGGTATCGACCGACTCCATCTCATTTTGCCTGGAAGAATCGGGCGGGGCGAATTAGTTCTGATTGGGACTGGTTCATGTTCTGCTTCGTCTTTTCTGTTTGTATAAAGGGAAATCTTATTTTACCTGAACTATATCAATCCAACCTCGTTGAGTCAATTGACTGAAATTGATGTTGCCCTGTAGACATAGTCACTAGCGCTTGTTCCTACCGAAGGTGTAATGGTTGTTGATTAATGCAATGACTAGGGGAATAGTAGGTACAGTATGATCTCTACTCACTGCTGAAATGAACTTCCGTGAACTTCGGACGATCTGCTTTGGTCCAAGTTAGGGCTTGTGCTTCTAGCTGCATCCCGAGCCAAGATAAAGCTGTCTTATTCGGTTTCTTCTCGCCGTCCCCCACCGCCTTTGCGAGTCACCCAGTGGATGGAACCTCGAGCCTGGTCGACGATTGTTTTCTGATTCAAGTCAGAATCCACGTGAACGAAAGGAACTTGAAAGAAGCACATGCTGATGTCTGAAACAGCTCGGTAGCCTCAGTGACCGCTGGCGGATTTTCGGCTTCTCTGCCCTAAGACACGATTGGGGGTCACCTCGAGGGTCGTCGAAATGCGTTGAGTGTAGCACCCGAGGTCTACGGATATGCACGGGTTTATCATATGGCGCTTGTTCCAAATTGCTAAAGGATACATTTACGGGATGTTGACCCGGAGCGGAGCTGTAGATGATTGGGGGCTGGTACGGTTGTTGTTCTGTGAGCTGGCGTCGAGCTTGTGTTCTGTGGGTTGAAGGAGATATGGAGAGGAGCAGCTCTCTTATTGCGGATATAGGGTTGCAGTGGCCTCCCCTCTCAGTCAACGCACATCAGACCTGAACGAGCAAAGCTCAATTGCCTAGAAGGGTGCTGCAGGAAGTATGGCGGTCAGTGATCACCGGATACCTTCATGCGTCGATCCGTTTCATATACTCATGGATAAGAGAAGCTGACTCTAATTCTTTCTAGCTGGGGCTTTGGTGATGACTGCAGAATCAAAAAGATCTAGCGGCGTCAAACGCCTACGATGAGTGGTATGAGCTTGAAGAGAGGGTTCAGGGAGCTTGCATGTTAACACACCCCTTATGAAAGCTTGTACTTCTCAGTGCCCACGGCAACTCCCACAACCCCCTCCCCAACCATCTCCAGCCCAGCCACAAACCCACAGAGCAACGACGCCAGCACAAACACCGTAATACTCTCCCCGATCTCCAACCACGAGCCCTCGTCCCGCACGCGCCAGAAGAACCGCAGCGTCAGATAGTCACTCGCGGCGACGACCAGCACAAAGAGCGCCCCAGGCCGCAGGCGCAGCGCGCGCGTCAAGAGCCCCAGGTTCGCCGAGACGAGCACAAAGGGGGCCAGGATCTTGAGGACCAGAAGGGCCCCCTGGCTGAAGGGATCGAAGACGGGCAGGAGACGCAGCACGGCGTCGAGCGAGAAGGAGGAGATCGAGGCGAGGTTCCCGGTGCTGAAGAAGGCGGAGTGGAACAGGTAGAGGAAGAACAGGGCAATGCGCAGGTCGGAAAAGCGGAGGGGGCGGAATTGTGGTGCTTCTTGGGTGATAGATGGGGATGCGGGCTGTCGCTGGTAGGCGAAGACTTTGGACTCCAGCTGCACCCAGGTGAGGAGTGTGCCGCTCAGGCAGCAGTAGAAGAGGCCTTCGTAGGAGATGGTAAGGATTATGAATAGCGGGGCGAATGCGAAGAAGAGGACCACTAGTTGATAGATGTGGTGGCGTCTGGTCCGAAGAGCGAAGATCGGGAGGATAAAGGACGTCACTGTTCAGTAGGGTTAATGTTGTTATTATGCCTCAATAGTGGTGTACTGACCGAGTAGTGTCCATCCTAGAATCTGTGTTGGACGAGGGAGTCCTTCTCGAGACTGCAAGGAGGCCGCTGCGGACCGCGTCGTGAATATAGCCAGTGGTACTAATCCGACCTGGAACATCAGGAGCAATCTTCCTAGTCGGTCAGTCTCGATCACATTTCCTAATGACGCTTGATGGAGTATTGTCGGCTCAAAGATGATATACAAGACACCGCAGGAAAACATGAGGAGCCCACCCAGGGTGCTATCCGACATGTTAGTTGACAATCGTCTCGTTATAGCCGGGCTTAACATACATCAGAGTAATATCCTCCGTTTTCATGGCCGGAAGAAGGGTGAAGATGCTCATAGAGCCACATTGGACTGCCCACACCAAACATATGAGCCGATTGGCACGGATGAATTTAATACCGTAGATAGCGGGCCAGAACAGGGCGAGAATGTAGATGAGCGTGTAAATCCTACGATCACAATAACTTTGAACCTGTTGATAGGTAAATATAAGGTGCGCACGAGCAGGGTACCGAAGCTTACTATAGCCTCCAAAAGCAGGCCCAAGAGCATCACACCAGCCGCATCTGCGATCACGTTGCTGGCGGATATCCGCTTGGAAAGTGCCCTAATGGCTTGGGTCCAGGTATCTTGACAGGCCCATACCTCAGCCCAGAACAAGACCGGGAATATAGCGTACGCATAATATTGCACCGGAGACTTCTGCGAATACAGTCTCACCAGAAGAGCAAGACCAACAAATCCCATCACGATGAGGCGGACAGTAGAACGTCTTGGCTGGGGACTAGTACCCGAACTTGGTAGGTCAAAGTGACTGAGCGCGTTCGTAAGAGCGAAGGCCATCCACCCCAGATATCCGACGCTAATCAGAGCTCGAAGAAAAAGCCAATCATAGGTCTGTAGGTACCGCAAGCCCTTAAGAGACAGGTCGATCAGATCCTCACAGCCTTGAATCGCTTCCTGAGGATGCCCCTGACGAATTGCAGTACGGATGCGAGCAATTCGTTCCTCTTGATTTGGATCTTGATCGTGACTGAGCGCCGGAAAAGGCACGTACCAGAGCTTTGAGGCCATCATACGACTTTCTCGAACTCGGTACGTCTCCAAGATCTCCAGCGCATTGACCAGCATCGCGTCCGCCAGACTGGACTCGTCCGCATCGAGATAAGGCAACGGAAGGCGTCCGACCGAGTTCACGGGAAACGGAATCCCCGCCAGATATGCAATCAGCGCCGCAATATCAGCCTGGGCGACATCATGCCTCTGCACATGATCCAGCTGCCAATCGGCAGAAAACGCATCGTGCCCAACCGCAACGCTGCCCACGGGCTCTACCCTGGGACGGGCCACTCCAGCGCCCCACGCGATGAGGGGCGTCCTGGTGTTATCCGGATGCCCATCCCCGTGGCTGCCCCAATCGCTCATCCCATGATCCGCGGTGAAGATAAAGGCCGTCCGATCGTCTCCAAAGAAGGCCTGGAATTCATCGCAGAACTCCCGCACACCGTTGTCGACAACTTGGAGATTGTGCAGATATTCGCGCGAATAGGGCCGATAAGAGTGGCCGGAAGTGTCCAGTCCAAGCAGATGGAGGAAGAAGATGTTCTGATCTTGTCTCAGGGCAGTCTCCAAGTTTGGATCCTCGGTGGCGGAACGGAGCAAACGCTTCACGCGGTCGAAGACCCAGAGATCTAGCTCGGTGGCATCCTTACTGTAATCTTCCGCGTCGGCGCTGTACATGTCTGTCTCCACGCGGCCCGGTGCGGCCCCCTGCGCAAACATCGGCAGGATGTCGGGACTGCCCCAGCTCCACGCATGTCGGCTGCGGTTCAGCACGCTGTCGAAGCCCACTGGGTTCAGCTTCCAGCCCGTGGTTACGGCGGAGACGTCTTCGTAGAGGCCCGCGAGAAGGGCCACATGGCCTGGGCGCGACTCGGTGGGTACTCTGGTATGAGACACTCCGAAGGTACCATGATCCAATACTCGTGAGCGCAGAAAGGGAGCCAAGTGGCGTGGTACCTGGGCCGACCCATCTGTAGGGGCGTCTGGGGACGGGTCGGGGAACTGTTGAAAGGTCTTGTCCGCGCGGAGCCCGTCAGCTGGTGTGCAGCCACCATTTCAAAGAATTAGAACCATCGACTGTCCACAAGATACTGAAGGGGAGAGAGAAATGGGGATGATCTCCCCTACCGACAAAAAGCACGACGCGTTGAGCAGGAGGAGAAGTCTGGACGCGGTGGGCCTTCATGCCCCCGACAACGGGGCTCACAAAGTAAATGTCGAAGATAGAATAGACATAGAGCAAGTGGAAAACAACGGCGACCCCCAGAAACTGCGAGCGTTTTAACCGTGCCATGTCTGTCTGCATTGACCGAAGGAGTGATCGATATCCGGTAATAATTCCTTCGGCATTGCTTTCATTGTGTTGGAACAGAGAAAGGAGACGGACCTGGTAGACACCACGTGATCCGATGGACGGAATCGGTAATTTCACTGGCGCCTAAAAGTTAGTGGCAGTCAAGATGGCGCTATTCCGGGCGGCGCAGGGGTTCGGCATACAAAGGAGAAAAGATCGATATTGCCAAGTAACCACTCTGGTATATTTGAACTGTTAATACGCTTGGAACTACAAGACTAGGTGTTTGAAGTCACAGACGTACTACTACTCGTATGACAACTGAAGGTAATGGAACCATCTTGGTCCATAAGTTTTAGGTCTGTTCTCGACTTGGTGTTTTGAGACGAGCTCACTGTACGTACGGTCCATACACACCTCGGCGATGTAAGACGTTCGTCTCCCCCATATCACCTCCACAACTCTGTAACCGATAATATATAGATAGGAGACTTGCCTTTACTTGAGATACAGTCTTCTCAGAAACATCAGAATCATTTTCGTTTCCGACGAAGTGGCAGAGCCTCAATCAAACAGGGCCGCATGCGTTCAACATTCTACCTCGTGAGTCTTGCATTCTTGCAGTACCGTCTTCGTAACTCCCATAAATGGTCTCAGAGGCGTTCTCAGTCGGTCCACCGTCGAGCATACTGCAGCTGATGCGCTACCCAAGAGCTGATAGACCGGATTCCCTCTGCTAAACAAGACAGACGGAGGGAAGGCGGGGTTCCACCTCGATCTCGACTTCGGCCGGAACGGATCGACGCGGGTACCTTCCGGTCAGGATTTAGCGTGCATCAATACCGGGGGCACTGGCCCGTGCCATGCCTTCTGTATACCTCCTGTATGACCGTATAGGACAATACAACAGCCGGATCATCGATCTACTGACCATACCATATTGTATTCAGAATTGAGCATGGACAGGCGGCGCAGCACCGGATGGCAATAATCCAGGGTATCGACCTGCTATCCCCATAAATATGACGGTATCTGCATTGGGCGACTGCTGATCTTTACATCGAAATCTTCAAGTCATACACTTCTAGTACACAAGCAATCACAAGTTCCCCTTAGAACAAGAAAGAGAGGGTTGTTGTTAAGTACAAAATCATGTATGTTCACAAGAGTTTCAAGACACGGTCCAGAAGGAGAAAAAGAAATTATACCGGCATTTTGTCTCACATCTCGCCCCCAAAAATGGACACGAGACTTCAAGGTCAAAGTGGTTTGAGAGAGACAACCAAATGAATCTGATTAGTGGAGAGGTATCAAACGAAGTAATGAAGTATATGATGGGACTTTTTGTGGGTGGATGGGGTGGGGGGGAATAGATGGAAAAAAAAATAATAAACGCTAATCCCTCCAAGAAGCATGATATCCCGCACCCCTCCCCTTAAAGCCTCGGATTCGGCCTAGCCCCTCGCAACTCCGTGGAACTCCCGTATGTGATGAATGGAAGGTTGAAGTAAAATGAGACAGAGAACAAATCAGAAGTAGTCGTTATGCATGCATGTACCCGTACCGCCCCCTCTCCCGTCCTTTGTGTGACCAGTTCGCCCCGTGTTTGTCGTGTACATAGCATCATGACTCGTTCGGAGGCCCGCCACTGGGGCCGCTGGTGTCACCAAAGACCGGAAAATTGTTCGACATGTCGGCCCAATCCCATTCGATGGTCATCGGCATCTGCCACAGATCTTGTGGTACGAAGGGTTGCTGGAAGGACGAAAGGGGATTGTCGGCAGCGGCCGTCGGAAAGGGTGGCTGCTCGCCAAATCGCACGCCGTCCAAGTTGTGTGGGCTGAGCATTTCAAAGTCGGGGCCCAGGTTTGTAAGGCTATGTATAGTTTCCTGAAGATTCGGGGGAAGACCGCCACCGGCTGCAGAGAAGGCTTGGTCGGGAACGAAGTTGCGTGCTGCAGTGGGTGAGTTGCCCGTGGGCTGATTATTCTGAGCCGTCGGGTACGAAGACGATGCAAGGGGTACTGCGGTTCTGGCCAAGGAAGGCGCATCTGATGCTCTGGTGGCGGGGGTCGTTGGAGATTGGGTTGTATTAGATGGTTGTGGCTGTTGCGCGTTCTTAGGATCATCGGAAGTGGCCTTGCGCTTCTTCTTCGAGTGTGACTCCCTCTCAGCCTTGTCGAGGACTACCTGCGCGATCCGTTCAAATTCACCACAGAGAGTGAGCATGCGTTTGATGCTTCCATTTGATTCATCGGATACCAGCGTCGACAGGAAATTGACCACCACATTCATCAGCTTCACATCAGAACGCGCTCGTGCATCGTTGGGATTTTGGAGGATATTAGCGAAAAGGGTAACCAATGCGGAGACCGGATAGTATAGTATCAACCTAGAGGGGCCTGTTAGCAGACAATCGTGCAGCTCAACAAGATGGGTACTGACCAGACACATGCAAAGTCGCCTTGCGGTATATATTTGATGAGATTGATGGACGCTCGAGCAGCGGTCACGCAAAGGACTGCTGACAAGAATACCCTTGGATTCAAGGGCCTGGCATTGAGGCCTTGGATGGCATAGTTGGAAAGACGGCTTGTCCAGTACCCATGATGGACAGACATTCGGTGGATCGTTGTCAAGCAGTTGTAATAAGCAAAGTGGAGAACGACAACATGCAGGATCAACGGGGTATGAGTTGCTTTGATCTCGTTCTCGGGGCGGAAGTCAAGTGGTATGCTGTCCTTCCACTCTTCGAGTTCTTTGTCAAGCTCTCCAATCGTATTCAGCAATTCCCCATCCGACTGTTTTGATGCCTTCGCCGAATATAGTCGCTTGTATACTCGACTCCCAATGGTAGCAAAACGACACATCGACCTGAAGAGGTTGAACTTGCTCTTTCCATCTGACAGTGGCACATTGCCAATATTGTCAGGGGGGTCTTCACTCGGTAATTCGACGTTCATGTCATCATCGTCCTGAACTGGTGGACGGCCGGAACGGAGACATAAACTGGGTCGGAGGTCAGCGAACGCAGTGCAAAGGAGAAGGGCTCGGCTTACTCTTTATCCAGCAAATAAGCAATCCAGAACACCCGCTTTCGTTGTTCGACTTCTACGGGATTCAAACCGAACCCCGAGCCGCGCTTATGCAACCCTATGCTGTGGGACAGCCGAATCGCTGCCGCGACAAGGAAGAAAGATGGTTGTGGGTTAGGGGTACCTTGCAAGAAGAGTGACTGGGACCGTGTCAACAATCTATAGCAGCACTCAACGAAGACCACTTACCATTCCCAGCAAGGCCTGGACGCTCAGCAGATCCGTGTTCCGCATCGTGAGCTCAGTTAGAACGGCCATTGCGTTTTTCAGGTAAAGCCACGCCTTCTTGTCTTCCTCTTGTGGCACCAGATTATTCATGACCCGGATTCTGTGCGCGATCGCCAGCACGACGTTGATGCTAGCCCACCAGCCGGAGCCTTCATACGGATCCCGAGAGTATTGCCGCTCTACTAAATGCATGAAAGTTGGTTCGTGAAAAAGCGGAAACATGCAATTGAAGTTGGCGAAGAAGTCCTGGAAGAGGGACATGGCCTCTTCTTTAGGAGGCAGCGGCTTGAAGACTCGACGGGCGAATATATCGCTGAAGATCTCAGGCTTCCAATACATCCACTTGTTGTCATCGATGTATGCGGAGGAAATCATGTCCTGGAATGACGAGTCGCCTGTTTTCTCGTTCACCCATTGTATGCCTTTCGGAGAGAATATCGAGAATCCCGACGACGATCCTGTTATAGCAGGTGAGCTTTGCATTTCTGGGCCATCTGATATTGATGCATGTACTGACCAATGTATCTTGTTTCTCCACAGTTATTCGTCACAAGCGAGCACATCATATCCGACAGACCTTCGACTTCATTTTCAGATTCCTTCGGCGATTCCGGAGACGTGGGAGCTGTGTGCGGACTTGACTGTGATTCGACCCGAGGGGTAGAGTGATGCGAGGAGGCTTGTTGAGACTGGCTGTTGGAGTTGGAGGCATTGAATTTTCCTGGGCTTCTGGGTAGACTCAGACCACCGTTCGCCAGAGATCGATCTGCAAGACGTCTTTCTAGGGTCCCAAGGTCAGTTTTTCCTCCATCTTCCTCTGACAGCAGGCCCGAAAGGCGTAGTAGCGATTCCATCCTCCCTAATCGATTTTCCAAGCCTTCGATGTATTTGGCACTGCAGGACCCCAAGTTGTTAGCGCAGAATCGACGACGGTAGCACAGCCGGACGAGGAGCGCTCACCCTTTAGGTGGATTTCGCTTTTTCTCTACCTGGGTAAAGACACAGTCGGTCTTGTAATTGATGCAGTGGGAGCACTTGGGCATCTTGCCATCGCATTTGATTTTCTTCTTTCGACACATATCGCAAGCCTGTATGAAGCACGATCAGCCCATCGCCGACCCGACGACCCAGTAACGTCAAACCACACGATCAGCGACTCACCCTTGCGATCCTCCTTCTCTTGGCGTCATTGCTATCATCACCCATGCCCATTGCGGTATCATCCTGGAACGCCGCATTATGATGCGCGGAGGGGATCGGCGAAGTGTCGTGAGGATAGCCGCCGAAGAACTGCTGCTGCTGGTTCATGAGCATGGGCATGTCGAAGCCCATGCCATCGGGGCCTTCCCCGATGCCATCCATTGCGATGGGAGCGAAGACAGGAAAAGGTTCCCAAATGTATAAGGAGAATTTCTATGACGGAGTGGAGTTTCTAGACCGAGCGGGTATGATTTGAGTCGAGTCGAGAATGGGCTGAATGCGGGGTTACTTTTCCCGGCGACGACGTCAATGAAATGCAGATGCAAGCCAACCGTTGATTATTCACGATAAGGAATGACTAGGGTGAGCCGATCGAGTAGCCAGTTTCGATGAAGAATTGCGCATCCACCGAGTCAAGAAAGCGGCGGAGTTGAAGGGAAAAGAAAATATAAAGTTAAAAAAGAAACGGGACCCTAA